AGTTTGGAAAAGCTTCATAATCTCATGTGAAGAAAGAAAGCAAAGTTAATTTCAGCCATCAAATCAAATCCTTTTAATCATCTTATTATATTACATGCTATAAAAAGATAGGGCACTACCCATCATATTTTTAAGCACTTTGATTTAGATAAAATGTGAATAGAGTTAAAATTCAGTGGTTGAAGAGTTTTGTCTCCCCGTTGTCGTTGCTTGAACATGATTGAAGTCATACCTAATAACTAATAAAAATTAATCTTCATGTGCTCACCACTCAAAAGGAACTAGTTAAATAAAAAGATTTGAGTAATTAAAACATGTTACATTGTAATGTGTAAAAATGAGGAATTATGATAGTGAATATACTATACTAAATTGATGAAATATGAATGCTCTTAATTGATTTTCTTTAATAAAAAGATACATTTTAATGGTTTTGTTTTGTTTGAAGGAATAAAAAAAAACATGAAATGTAAAAGGAAATGGGAATGATAAAGTAATTGAAGCTCTTGTTTGGTTAAGGAGAACTTTAAGATTATTTTATTTTGGTTGAGGACAATGTAGGTTTTTGTTTTGTATCAGAAAAAGACATTTAAATCTTAATAATGATTTGATAATCTTCTCTTCTTAACTTTATTAGGGTACGTTAAGAAAGGAATTGTCAATAAAAATACTTTTTATATTCTCTAAATAAATTCAATCACCTAAAAATTATAATGAGATAAAACAAACAAACATTATACAAGTTATCAGATGAAACTGAAGAAAACTATTGAATGCCAGAAACAGAGAAAAGAAAAAGGTAAACAGCTTGGAGGAAAATGGTTTCGCTTCTTCCATACTCTTTCAGAATGTTGTAATACATATTCGTCTATTCTCAGCTTTTGGCATATATACAATTATTGTATTATCCTTGTGCAGTTGTAGGTGACAGTGATTGTTAGAGACCAGTGGCTGGCTGCGATGCATTGATTACAAGGTGGAGAGGAAAGCAGCATATGTAATGTTGCGCGCTTCATGATTGTAGCTGGTGGAGTTGTGGAGCTGTGTGTATTACAATCTCCTTTCAAGTGGATGCTTCTATAGAAATTGGTTATTGAGTCTAACTTGCAATGCCTTTGAGAAAATATGAGCAAATTGATCTTGAAAAAAGATGTGTTGGCTATTGATTTATTTGAATTAAATACTGTCAAATGGAGTAGTAATCTATCTCGATATGTTTAATGTGATCATAAGAAAATTAAACTAATTATAAGAGTCATGATAGAAATACCATCAGCAGAAAAATCAAAAATAGGTTGATTTGACTCATTAATATTAATAGGAATATCTTGAATAATGGCAATCATAGAAAGAGGAAGATTATCTCTAAGCAATTTATAAGTGTTCCACTTACCATGCACAAACATATCATCCTGCAACACATAACTTAGAAATAGTACGAGTGTTAAAATAGGAATCAAAAGCACCATTACCAATCTAGTCATTTTGCCAAAAGAAGCAAGAGCCCATACCAATGCCCCCATTGAATACATTGCTCTCCTTGTCCCTTGATTTTGCAAAGCCCTAGACCAAATAGTAGATTGACCTTTCTTAAAAAACCTTGAGTTGGGTTTATATTCTTACAATTCTTGAAATTCATGAAATTAGCCCATAAGAACTTGTTAGTGCGGAAAATCTACCAAAGTTTTATAAAGAAACGCTTAACCATATCAATAATGGATTTACAACTAACACTCCCTTCACCATATAAGCGAGTACAAGAATTCCAAGCTCTCCGATGAATCTTATAACTATTGGAAGAGAAGCCTAAAAAAATCTATTTATTATCTTATCCAATATATTACAAACTTTCGGGAAGGATTAATAGTTTAGAAGAGATAAAAAGGAATTGAGCATATGTCACTTTTAATGAGAACAAGCCTGGCACCAATAGAGAGTAATTTAAATTTTCAAGAAGAGAGTTTAACTCTAGTATTATGAAACATTTTATCAAAGAGGAAGAATTTCCTTTACCTTTGTAAAGCGGGGTGACTAAGTAAAAAATAGGGAGGGATTAATTCGTAAAACCAATAATGTGAGCTATAGAATTGATGTTTCGTTGGTTCATATCTTTGCCACAAATAAAGGAGCATTTATTTTTATTGAAAGAGAGACAACTTTCTCTTTCAAAAACTTTAAGCAAATTAAGAATCAGATCATTGATTTTTTTTAAACCATTATTGAAAACTTTAATATCACCAACAAAGCTTAAATTAGATATGACCATAGCACCAAGACTAGTAAAAGTCAAACTCTTGTGTTTATAAAAAATGTCCATCAAACCAAGAGAAAGATATTCAACAGTAATGATATAGAGAGCACGAGAAAGAGGATCCCCTTGCCTAACACCTTGAAAATCTTAAAGAAACCGTGAGCTTTGACATTAATGATAATAGAGTTCCAAACATATTCAATGGTATTCCTAAGAAGATTAATAGATATATCATTGAAATCAAAAAGCTTAAGAATATTATAAATAAATGTCAAATTGATGTTATCATAAGCTTTGAAGAAATCAAACTTCAAAACAACATTGGGACCCCTCATTTTACAATTAATATCATAAATCATATCTATAGCAAGCAAAACATTGTCAGAAATATTTCTACATTTGACAAAACGATTTTGGGAAGAAGAAGAGACATTCTCAAAACAACAATTTTAGAGATCAATTTGTTAAAAGTAGTACATAATTAAGCTGATGGTCATTTTAACACATTACGAGTTCTTCTATGACAATATTTCCAATTAACACAACTCTCCTTGGCCTATTGGTTGAGAGTTTAAGCTTCCAACTAAGAGGTCCAAGGTTCGAGTCTATGTGTATGCGTTGTGTGTGTGAGTTTGCCTTAAATGGCCTAAATGTCTCAAAAAAAAAAACAATATTTCCAATTATAACTTAAAACATTTATATATTACATACTGAATATCCACTTTGAGAACATTATGCTTTCTTGAAAAAATTAATCAAAAAATTTTGACATTTTTTTAGTTCTATATAGATTTTTTTACTTTTTTTTCTACGTATCTTTCTTTTTTAGGATCTATCCTTTTCTATGGAGGCATATTTTAATATTTTTGAAAAAAAATATTCACCTCTAAATTTATCATAACTATATAACGATTTGAAATATAATTTTTAGCTTTTTTTATTTTCACGTGTTGATACAGTGTTGAAATAGTATTTCTCTCTATTCAATAGCCAGGGTGGACAACCTGGTTAACCTTAGTGTTTTTTTTTTTTTTGCTATATATCTCATCCAGTCTCGTTTCAGATACATTCAGCTCTTCCTAACATCGGCCACAAGCTCATTACAGTTAATAAGATCATAAATACAAATTAATTTTTTTTAGTAAATTAAATACCCTTTCAGGAAATGAAAGTCTGGTCATCAGAAATGAAGCTTTTTTTAAGTCACATTGAAAGTAATAAACAATAGTTTCCTGCAAGTAGACAGTCTTAAGCCATGGAAAGAGAGAGAGCCGTACCATTGAAAGCTGCTCCGTCTCTCACTCCTTTCTCTCGCAGATATATTCACGAGCAAGGAAATGTTAAAAAAAGCTTCGGGAACACTTTAGTTTGAACTTCTCTGTTTACAGAGTGAATTGGAAATCCAATAGACCTTCTTAGCCTTTCTGAGCATTCTGAATTCGCATTAGATTATCATTACAAATAAGAAGTCAGATAGTGTAGGCAAAAGTAAAAGTTCTCATTACTATAATTAGCAAATCTCTCTCACTCTCTCCCCCCTCTCTATCCTCCACCATCTTCTCTCTCTACTTCACGAGACACGATAGACACAATGACAAGGCAGGAAAATAAAGCTAAAGGAGAGTAGCTACAAGATAAAGTGCTCCTGTCGACCACAGAGGTTCTTCCTCTTTACCTCCTTAGTTAATGGAAACTTGGAAACTAAAGTAATTAAGCTGCCATCTTACTCTAACAAAAAATTTTCATTAAGCTATGTATTATTCCGCTAGTTTCTTCTGTCGGTCACTTCATGCATGTTAAGTGCTTGACATATTTCTAGCTAATTACAGTACACGTCTGACTGCCTTAAAAGGGAACAGCCTACAGCATTTAATCTTTAAGAGTATCTGTGTAAAATTCTCAATAAATTTTTAATAAATCCGAACAATCTACTTGATTTTTTAAGACATTTTTCTATAGAAACCTCATTCAAATGAGAGAATACAAGGCTTATTCCCAGGTTTCAAAAGCTGTAGGGATGAAAATCCTATTAAGAATTCTAAAATCTTTTATAAGAAATTCCTACTATCACCATCCATTTTACCTTGATATTTGTGTTAAGAATTCTCTAGAATTTATAGGGCGAGAAATAACTGTAAGAAATTATTTGACACCGTTCATTTTATCTTTAGATCTGTGCACAAAACAATATTTTTAATAGAAATAAATAGTTATAACTAAACTCACAAATCTTTAGTGATAATGGAATTATCATAGAAGTTTTATAGGAAATTATTTATAGAATTAATTAATTCAATCACATTAATAGAGATTTATATTCAGAAAAATCAGGCAGAGATAATAAAATTCTGAGAGAAAATTGAATAAGAGAATTCTTAAAAATTTTCCTATCAAAATTTTCAGAATTTTATGCAACAACCCAAACATTTTTATTGTAATTCTTGTTTTCTAAATAATGTGAGGATATATACTAAAAAAAAACTCTGCTTAAACATTCATGAACCTAAATTATTTAATTAGATGAACTAAAAAATTTTCCTAAAATAAACAACACTCTCTCAAATTCGATCCGGCCACATATTAATGTGTAATCCAAATGATTTTTTTCTTAGTACTATAGCATTAATCTTCTAAAAATAAGTCTCCATTAAACAAAATAGTGAAAATACTTACAAACACCGACCTAAACATTAAAAAATATATATATTTAGAAAATCTCTTTATAACAATATCCATAAGAACTAATAGATTATTTTTTATCCCCCTCAATCCCCATATCTCCACCATCACCTTTCCCTTCCTCCTCTCCTTCCTCCCCATCATCATCTTCTTCCTCCTCCTCCCCTTCCTCTCCCACACCAAGCGACTCCACTATATGCGGCGCATGCCCGCCGCCAAACGACCGCACATGATCCTTCAGCGACCGCTTGTGCTTGAAGTCAGAGCCACAGATACAAAACCATAGCTTCCCACAGTTCTTCTCGTGCGTTCGCCAATCTCCGCGCACCGCGAACGATTTCCCGCAGCGCCGGCAAGCAAAGGGTCGAGCGCCATGCTTGCGCTTGTAGTGAGTTTGAAGGGTTCTGAAGTCTTTGAGAGGGCGAGAGCGTGGATGGTCAATGTTGTTCTTGCAACCTTCAGCGCAGCAGTAGCATGGAAGGCGCATCATGGATGCTGGAGTTACCTTTGCTGTTGCTCCGCGTAGAGAATCAGAGCCTTTTCTGTATTGTGATCCATGTCCCCACATATGCATCTGTGGAGATTTGTTAGTTGGATATGATTAATTTTTGGTGTTCAGAGAAAATGTTTAAGAAAACTTTGTTGTCTCAGATAAATATTATATATATATAGAATGCATGAGAGAAATATAAGTGTTTTCAGATGTACTGAACTCCCAATATATTTGCTTGTGAATAAGTCTAATTGTTTATGTATAAAATTTTTTGAAAATATTTTGAGAAAAAATCACATTAGAATATTCTAATCAAAACCTTAATCAAGATAAATTTAAAATATTTTGATATGTTTTAAAATAAATATAATATATAAAGTAATATTGCACTCACATTAAAGCAGAAATAAAAGATTTTGAAATCTATCTGATCATTTATCAGTCAGAATATCTTATACAAAAATCTTTCATATATTTTGTCAGAATTTTTTTATTATTTTGTAATGCCAAATCAAAACAGTAACAAATAAATCACTTTTATACGATACAATGTGCGTACGCTAGGCAAATTTATTACTATAAAGGAAACTTGAGACTTCCATTTTTCATTTTATTTTTCAGACAGATCTTCGCATTTGTTGCAAATTTAGTAGCTATCAGCATTTTTAAGCTTGACTAGACTGTAGGGAGATTAAGATTTTGTTTGGGAAGATTTTTTTATTGCTTCTTTATTTTTTATACTAAAAATTTGTTTTAAGAAACAGGAAGAAAGTCGTCCTAAACAAAGCCTAAATTTTCAACAATTTTGCTTCTTTATTCACTTATAAGGCTTCACTTGTAATGTAAATTTTCATAAATATTATTCTTTTTACCATCATTCATTTTACAATCTTATTTCTCTCGTTTTTTTACCAAAAATTGTGAAACTATGCAGAACAAATTACTCTTTATCAACCCTACAGTTGCAAAAGTTGAAACAAATATTCAACTAAAATTTCTGAAGCAGATTAAGCCATGGCTTAGTAATGTTCTTAGCTAAATATTAAACTTACAATCGTCATGCTATGCAGAAATTAAGTCTAAAATCCAGCAGATTCTATAGTTTGAAGGTAAGTCAATTAGGTCATTCATAGGCCATAATTTGTGAGAGTTTGGGATTAAATCCGTTCAAAATATTCTACAAGCAAATCGCTGAGGATAAATCTCAGACCTTTTTTCCATACTTTCAAAAACAAAAGAAAATTTTGTTTGAAGGCTTTAAAGCAACGTAAAATGACACTGAAAGAGAGATAAATAATCTGCTAAGCTAGCCAGTACAGAACATGTTGGTGCAGAAATAGAACCTCATATTTCGAAGAGGAGAGCCTAAACAAAACCTAAATGAAAGCTGAATGAATCACAGCTAACTATTTATACATAGAGCAACTGAATTAGGATTTAAGCTAAGAGAGCCAAAAATTCATCTTAAATTTAGGAGGATGATCTGGTCATTCTTAGTTTACATAATTATATAAAAAAAGTAGTTTATGCGACGTAAAGGGGGAGCGCTGCCGCTGGTTCTTCACTGTTGAAGAAAAAATTTGTCGGGAGGAAGAACTGTTCATTCTTAATAATTTACACAAATATTTAAAAGGTTCATCGGAACGTAAAGTGCTGGCTCTACCGTTGGTTTTTCACTGTATGGAAAACAAAAAGCCTCAGGATCTCCTTCACTCAAAATTCCTTCTTTTTTTAAATACAATAACGCAGCAGTATATTTGTTATTAAATATATTTTTCATAATTTCTCTTGAATTTAGTTAATTTAAATCAGAGGCAGATCTAAAGTGGAGGCACATAACTCCTCTCGTTAAGATCTCATCAAGCTGCCTCTTCACCTTTACTTTTTAGCTTAATTATAGCTTAAGATTGAAATATTTGTAGAACTAAAAAGAAAGAAAATAGAGCTATAAAATATAATTCCGAATGATTTGGTGAAATCTATGACAGATTTCCGAAGTAATTGATGACTTGTTATTAACATTTCAAAGAATTGCAGCTAATATTGCAGTCTAAAATAAAGATTAAAATAATGAAAAATCTCAACTTAACCTAACAGTTGAGAGCTTTAACCCCAATCATGAAGATCATGAGTTCAAGAACCTATTTATTCGTGTATTATGAGCATTTTATCATTAAATTAACCGTTTCTTTTGTCCCACACCGTACATATATAACTAGAGAGTACCAAGCTAGGCTAGCTTAGAAGCGAACCTGCATATTGTTAAACCGGTTGAAAGTTTTGTTGCACACGGCGCAGGAGAACTGTGTGGCGCCTACTAGTATCTCGGCGGCTGATGGAATCCAGTACTGGCTCGGCGGATTCCCCCCGCCGGAGCTACCATTGACAGCCGCCGCCCCGCCTCCCACAGAGCTCGGCAGGCCGATGGACAGCGCAACCGTCACGCCTCCATCATCCTTATCCTGCAACAAGGAGCCCGACCGCAGCCATTGAGATGAAGAGGTCGAAGAAGCTGGGCTCGGTTTCTGCTGGCCAGGCGGCCACAGGGTGAGCAATAGGATGGAGTCGTCTTCTTCCATGGAAGCTTGGAGCGGATTCATAGTTGATAGGCAGAGGAGGATGTGAGGGGGGAGGGTATTTATATAGGAGGGAGAGAAGGAGAGAAATGATTGAAGGTGGGGGAGAGAGGGGGACATGCACGTGCGATGAGGGTGATTGGATGGGTTTTGGCGTGATTATCTCCGGAGGAGACAAAGGCCGGCAAAGGTGGAGTGGAGTTGGTGGGGCCCGCATGACCCGGCGAGGTGAGAGGGACCCACGGCCCGTATGGACCCGATTCCCGAGCCACTGCCTCGCTCTCTTAAATCACTTTCACTTACTTTTTTCCGGCCTCATTCACTCCGCCTTTATCCCCTCCTCAACTGGCCGTTTACGAGTTTTACATTCTCTCTCTCTCTCTCCCTCTCTCCCTCTCCCTCTCTCTCTCTCTCTCTCTCTCATGTTTGCGAATAAGCTCGATAAGCACTAAACGAACGAACATGAACTAAACATGAACCGAACATGAACTGAACATGAACCGAACATGAATACTCATTAATTTAAAAGAACCAAACATGAACACAAACAATAAAGCTCGAACAAACTTGAACAAGCTGGTATTAAATGAACACAAACATGAACACTCACATACTCGGCTCGGCTCGGTTCGTTTGCAGCCCTAATTGTTAATGTCCGAGGGAGGGGGGGACTATGTAAGAGTATGGTAATGAAATTTGTGGTGAGAATAAAATTTAATGCTACTCGAAGGCCGTTTGATTTGATAAAAAAATGTATAATAAAAAAATGTAATGTAAAGCCGAATGACAGTAATGGTGACCTATCGATGGTGGCAGGCAGTGGTAGACTATAGGTTGAGCCGTTAAGGCGGCAAGTACCAAGGACAGGAGACTGTAGGCAATGATAGTGACAAAAAATTTACAGTTTATTTGAAAACTGACTACAACAACATTAACAACATTAAGCCTTTGTCCTACTACGTGTGATCAGCTATATGAATCCTTTTTCAAATGCACCAAAATTAACCTAAGAGGTGAATTAAGTCCAAATACTTAAAAATTTCCAAATACTATGGTAGAGCCCATAATGCCATGAAAATGTTGGAACAAAGAATTAATGGCTCATAATCCTAGCCCAGTATGTATATCCCATAGGATTAAATACATTCTGAAAAAATTAAATACATAAATGAGAGGAACTACTGGTGTAGTTAATCAAAAGAGTCCATCAAATGGTTCTATTAAGGAGATATGCAAAACTTTGTAGCTCAGTAGATATTTTAGATAATTTATAATCCAAAGATTAGATATGATTGTATAAGCTAGGTGAGCTAGCTGACTTAGTATTTGAGGTCTTTTAATTAAAGAAACTTATAATGAGTGAAAAAGTTGATTGTAATGATCGAGTATACTGGCTAAGAGGATCGAGTATATTTATCGAGGGCGATGATTGAGAGGACGAAGTATACTAGCTAAGAGAGATGATTGAGGGCCGGGAGTGATTTACTAACCAAAAGAGCTGAGTGAGAAAGATTGAGTATACTAACCAAGAAAGCTTACTTAGAGGATTAAATATACTACACTACAGGAAAAATAGCTATTACCGGCGGTTCCAACCGGCGGTTAATGGACCGCCGGTGTTACCGGCGGTTAAACCGCCATCTGTTAACGGCGGTTTGCCGGTGTTTTTTATACATAAAACCGCCGGTATTAACGGCGGTCAAAAAACCGTCGGCAAACCGCCGGCTTCAAATATTCACCGGCGGTTTAGCGGCGGTCTAAACCGCCAATAATCAGCCGCCGGTAATGGCATTAAACCGCCGGTTTATTACCGGCGGTTTCCGACGGCCACCGGCGGTTCAACGGTGGACATCCGGCGGTTTTGAGCGTCGGTAATACCGATGGGTAGACCGCCGGCTATCGTCGGTAAAATAACCGGTGGTCTACCGGCGAAGTCCGGCGGTTTTAAAAGCAAACGAAGACAAATTAAACCGCCGGAGAACCGTCGGTAAAACGACCGCCGGTAGGCCGTCGGTCAAATAACCGGCGGCGTCACGGCCGGAAAACCGCCGGTCAAAAAACCGGTTGACACCGGCGGTCGGCGCCGCCGGAAAACTGCCGGCAACTAAAACCGTCGGTAAAAAACCGCCGGTACTAGTTTCCTACGCAATTTTTTCTGGCGGCAAAAAAACCGCCGTAAAGCCGCCGGTAACGGAAAAAACCGCCGGTTAATTTAGGCTAACCGCCGGATTTTGACGTTTTTCCTGTAGTGCTAGATGAATATTTAAGAGGAACAAGTGTGCTAGTTAAGGGAGTTGATTAAGAGAACCAAGTATATCAATCGATAGATATAACTATGAAGACTTAATATGTGTACTAATGAAAAGAGCTGACTAAGAGAGTCAAGTGTATTGACTGACTGACCTGACTAAGAAAACTAAGTATACATTTTATAAGAGATATTGTAAAATTTCTTCTGAACTCAATCTAGATAATAACATGCATGACTAAGTGCTTACCGATTTCAAAGTTTAAATTATGTTTAAATGAAGTAAGCTATTGTGAGGATCAACGC